GCCACCTCTGGGGTGGAGCATGGCCGCTGTTTAACAGCACACGGCTAGGATGCAGAAGAGCATCAGAAGGGGATTTAGGGAGACTGACTGTAATTACCCCAGGTGGAATGGGGTTAACGCCCCACTTATATGAGGCGTCGTGGAATGATTGATAGTTGGGAGCCTGGGGTTTATGCCAGGGTGTGGCTGAGTGAGAACAGCGCCCCCTATTGAATCATCAGCATCACGCCCTGCGGCAGCATCTGAGCTCTTCCTTGGAGCTGTCCGTGCCACCCCTGCTTAGCTTGACTGGGTTCTAGCAAATGGGGATAAACTGCCATTTTTGGGGGTGGGACTGAGGAAGTTTTGGGCTTCTCTCAACCTCTGCTGTCTCTGGGGCTTGTCCATCGGTCGTTTGGAGCAGGGAACGACACGAGCCTCCCCCGGGACCGGTTGAGCTGTGTAAATACCCCCGTGGGATTGCGCGGCTAGTGTTCCGGCTGTATTGTTTAAACACCGTTCAGTTCTGGAAAGTGACTTCTCCTCTCTCGGGGATCACCGCTGACTGCTTCGCAAGATAGCAGCCCTGATTCTGGGCGGCATAGAGGAGCTGGAAACCCCAGAGATCACCCCAATTTAGGGAATCCCCCAACACTGCTGCCTTGCGCTCTTCCCAGCACTAGAATATGCTAGGTACATGCTCCAGGGATGGTCGGGGTGTGGCCGCATTGCTCTGAGTTCCAGCTGTTCTCGGCTGCACGATGGTCCCTTGGGGGTGTAAATTAGAGCCGTCCCATAGGCTGCTCTACCTTATCCCACCAGCCCCAGAATCCTGGAGGTTAAAAGGTGGTGTAAAGCTACCTTTGCCTCCACTCCCACCCCACTGGACTGCTCCAAATTCGGGGCAGGGCCCTGGGGAAGATCCCTCCTAACCCTGCAAGTGCCACCTGGGGATCTGAGAGTCAAGCTGTTTTTTTCCCCTTCAGTTCCACAGTAGGAACTTAATTGATGATGCATGATCCGGAATAGAATCCGGATTGCTGCTTCCGCTCCACTAGGCTAGCAGGAGCGAACGGGTATTTCCGGCATCATGTGGGAGCGGATCAGGTGAGTCAGAAGGGGCCGTCTCTCAGAGCAGGGTTCAGTTGAGCTTGTTTAATAGGAAGCCGGAATGACCCTGCTGATTAGGAAGTACATCCATATCCCTAACCTACCTCCCCCATCCGGCCCTGCTCCGCAGGGTTCCCAAAGCCCTTTATAAATCGATACACTCAGAGATCAGCCCATCTGCCACTGAGAAGCAGCCACCTCTGGGCAGGAGCATTTCCTCCTAAGGGATTTCCCGCCGCCCATTGCCCCTGACCGGTGTCACCTGCTTCCTCGTAGTGCGGCTTCTTCCGGAGGGCGAGCACCCGCGCCATGTACGAGGCCAAGGGCCAGAAAGCGGAGATGAAGATCCAGCCGTCTGAAACGGAGCGGCTGACCGACGACTACTAGCTCAGGGCTGCCCCTTTGCCCTGAGAGCCCACTCCATTCTCTTGGTAATGAATGGGGGGCGGTGCAACATACAACGGGGAGGGGCCTATGGGATATTGACTTCTCACTTCCTCCCTGTCTGTCATGCCTTCTCCTATTAACCCTTTCCCTGTCTGGGCTGCATCTCTCCCTTGAGGGGCCCACTGAGTCACTGTGTGTGGTCTGGTCTGATACTCTCGCAGCCAGGGAGCAAATCGTCTGACTGCACTTTCGTTGGCACGCCCCTACCCCTAATCCCCCTCTACTTTTCCCTGGCTCCCCTCCACCTGCAGCTGGGTTCTGCACAGGCTACATGGGGATGGGTGGGGGTGTGCGTATCCGCTGTTCCACTCAGTTGGAGCCAACCCGCGTTTGCGATTGTCTCGCTCTTTGCTAGCTCAGGATCTGCCCCGAGGGCCCTGCCGTATAAGCCCCGATGGTGCAAAAGAGGAGTACGTGGGGAGGATACAGCACCAAACCTCGGGAGGGGAGGAGGGAGAGGGTGCTGCCCATTTGTGGCACCACGAGACCATTTGCACTCTTTGCACGGCTGGATTAGTGATGCCGAAGGGGCATCGCCACCCTCGTGCCTGACGCGTCACTATTCCTCACCTGCTCGGTGGCACGAGCTGAGCCTTGTGCACGGGACAACTGCACCAGTGGGCAGAGTCAGAAGAAACCCTAATAAAGAGAAGGGTAGAACAAGGGCCCAGGATGCTGCTGTGACACTAGGGGGCGCTGATGCAGAATGGGGGAATCCGGATCTTCCCATGAAGGCCCAAACGGCCGCTAACTGCCCAGGGGATAGAACTGTGGGCAGGAAGGAGAACCAGCGATTCCACGCACGCCATCCAGCTGTGTCCGTCCGTCCAACTGTGCTGCGGTTTAACTAACGCTAATGTCTGTCTTCCCCTGTTCCAGCGTCACTGACCAAATGTTTCTCAGAGCAGCCTCTGGAGTCTGTTGTGTCTCCTCCTCTTCTCTCTCTCTTTTCTTTGGTGTTTTTCTCCCTTTCATCTCTCTGATTTCGCGCTCATTTTTCTCTCTGATCTCACATGATCTCTCTGATTTCCTTCTGATGTTTCTCTGATTTCTGTCCCTGATTTCTCTTTCTGATTTCTCTCTCCCTCTCTTTCTGTCCCTGATTTCTTTCTAGTTCTGATTTCTCTCTCCCACTCTGATTTTTGTCCCCCCTCTGATTTCTGTCCCTGATTTTTCTGATTTCTCTCTCCCTCTCTTTCTGTCCCTGATTTCTTTCTAGTTCTGATTTCTCTCTCCCACTCTGATTTTTGTCCCCCCTCTGATTTGTGTCCCTGATTTCTTTCTGATTTCTCTCTCCCTCTCTGATTTCTGTCCCTGATTTCTCTCCCGCTCTGATTTCTGTCCCTGATTTCTTTCTGATTTCTCTCTCCGTCACTGATTTCTGTCCCTGATTTCTCTTCCTCTTTCTGATTTCTCTCTTTCTCTGCCCATTGAAGTTTGATGCTAACCTCCATCCCCTTCCTCTCCCCTCTGCGCAGTGCGACTTCTTCAAGCGGACCCGCTATTACCGGATCATGCCCAAGTACCACGCGGTGCGGATCCGCCAGGAGGAGCGCTACCGGCCTGCTGACGGCTTCCTGCCCCGGAAGCACAAGAAACACTGGGTAACAAACTGGCAGGAGTCGGAGAAGTACTACTGACCCCTCCCTCCCCTTCCCGCCACCCCGTCTGCTCGGCTTGCCCCTGTGACCACGTCGCAGCTGTGTGTCAATAGCCCAGGGACCAGCCCCCTGCCAGCGAGGGACATGTTATTTATCCTAAGTTATACCGCATAGAACGGCAACCCCAAAGCTTTCTCAAGGGGCCCGGGAGCGAGCTACACATCCCGGGAAGCAGCCGTGCAACGCGAGACCCGGCAGTGGGAACACGAGGGGCTTTTTGTTTTGCACAAATGGATTATTTCACACATATAGACACACTCTTTTACCAGGGCACAATTGCTGTGTGTTCCGTCTGGGCCCTGGCCCTCACCCCGTCCCCAGCTCTCTGGCTCTCTGTCACGCTCACCTGTACTGCAAAGTGCCTCCTTATGCACAGACAGCGTGTGGTCTCGCACAACCCCTCTGCATCTCGGCCGTGCACTTGTGCACACACGGTTGGGTCTTACCCGATGCTCTTGGGTGCACAGAGCATTGTTTTGCCTGCCCTTTTCACACACACACCCCCCGTGCACACACATGTGCAGAGATGATCTCTTGTGCAATCAAGTCCCCGCACACACTTGGAAGCTTACGGCATTTTGCTGCGGGTTGTGTCAAGACCCCGAGCCACCCATGAGCCACATGACTTCCCCCCCCAACCCCGTCCCACGCTTGCACGCAGATGACTAGTGCACGGTCCCCAGCCTCCCCCTTCAACTCTTTGCACATGGACACTCCTCCTCCTGGATCCGCCTGCACACACGGCCACTCGTGCACAAACTCACTTGCACCGATTCACACGTGTGGCGGCGGACGCAGCACACAGACGCTCGCCCTGACCCGGGCGCTCTTTGGTGCACGTTCGTGGTCGCCGCTTCTCCCCAGCACACGCCGACGCCCGCGCTCGGCCTCCGGCAGGTTGCTCCCTGTTAAGCCCTTGCCCCGGCGTTCTGCACCGGGACAGAAGAGGGGAAGTGGCTCCAATACTCGGAACCCCCTGATCCTGCCAAGGCAACGCCTCTCAGCCTCATCACGGCCCCCTCTGTGCACTGCACTGGACACTGGATGTTTTGCCACTGGAGTTTCTTATGTCAGAGCTACTGGTACCTTTCCTTGCTTGTCCCCTGGCCGTTCTTTGGTGGGGAGGGGAGCAGCTGTTCTCCAGGGAAGCCGATGGTTACTGGGGTACAGCTCATGGAGAGGTTTGGGAAGGGTGGACGTTGTGGGGGGAGGTAGGGGCAGGTTTTGTCATCACCGGGGGATGGTCCCTCCCCGTCGCCTTGCAACAGCAGCCCTCGGCTCCCCTCCAAGAATGGGACAGGTAAGGGCTCTTTTCGGCCGGGGCTGGATCTGCTTAAGCCTAGAGCCGGTGGTCCCCTCTCCAGCTGCTCCTAGGGAGTAGCACAGGGCCTGACCCCAGGGGGTCCTGCCACAGGAAAGGCCTGGCATGGGATGCTGTCCCAGAGTTAACGCCGATCCTGCCACTGCATCGCTGTTTAGCTGCGAGATGCCACCTGGGTCCTGCCCCAGTCAGCGCTCTGCTGCCCCCCCCGTGGCACCCTCGGCTTGCTGCAGGCCTCACCCGGGCCTCCCTTTCCCATCCCAACCATGCAGCTGAGTTTTCGTGCTATAGCTCCGTTCGGCTGGAACGTTCCATTCCCAGCACGCCCTAGCCGCTGGCCACGTTCCACTGGCGCGCTCTTGCTGGGGGGCATTCTTGCAGGCATCACACAATGCTTTAATGGGGGGTGTCACCCTGGTTTACAATAACGGAACCTGCAAGAATGACGGTTTCCTACGCTGACCACTCTTTGACACTCCCTCGGTGCCCTCGGCTGGGGGTATTAAATTATTAAGTGTGTATTTGGGGTTTTTTTTTTTGCTGTTGATCACTGGAGTTCGTTTCGTTTATGGTACTGGAGGTCTGGAGTCACTGCGCCTTGATGTGAATATGCTTGAGCAGTTATGATGGTGTCCAATAAAAATTGCTCCTTGATTTGTAACATGCAGTTTCCTACAGTTCCACCCAGGCTTAAACCAGAGATGCGCACTCCGGGTATTAACCGTACGTAGCACTTTTCATTAGTAGATCTCAAAGCGCTTTACAAAGGCGGTCAGTTTCATTATCCCCATTTTACAGAAGGGGAAGGTGAGGTGCTCGGAGCAGGGCTGGGACTAGAACCCACCACTGCTGAGGGCTTATCCATGGTGTTCTCCATTAGGCCATGCTGCCCGTCCCTACCAAGCACTTTCTGGACTATAGATAGAGCTGGGGCGCACCCTCAGGACACCGGGTCTGATACATCTCTCACTTCTGCCAGCACAAAGCCAGAGCAACGGTGTCTAATGTATAGCTGCTTTTGAAACTGCGGGTTCGAGGCCAGGGTCTACATGGTGACGCTGGGCAGCAAAGGTGGATTGTTGGTTAGCCTGGGAACCAGGGAACGCCAGGGTCCGTCAGCAGCCGGCTGCCTCAATAAGGAAACCTCCTTTGGATTTGTTACAGCCAAATTGTGGAAGACCCTTCACCAGCATCCTGGGGAACGGAATCTGGCCCACTGGGTGCTGACACGAACCCATTTGCAAACTGCATCACCTAGAAAGGAAAGAAACTTTTTTGGGGGGGGGTCATGGTGCAGTGGGGGCGAAGGATACAAAGCACAAGCTGGGCGGCAGGAGGGCAGAAATCTAACTAATAATAAGCCATAGTCCTTTGGCCTTGCCCCTCATCTCTTCATGGTGTGTTTGTACAGCGCCTAGCACACAGGGGTGCTGGTCCGTGACGGGGGCTGTTAGGTGCTACCCCAGTACCAATGATTATAATCTGGAGAGTCTGTGCAGGAGCTGTCATATTTTCTTTGGCCACCAGATGTTGCTGCGGTAGTTAGGTATGGAAAACCCAGTGGGAGTTACAGCTGTGCAAGGTTATTGCTGCAATCAGGGCAGCGATGTGGGGGTGAGGCAGACTGGCCAGCCAAGAGGACATAAGAACGGCCCTACTGGGTCAGACCAGGGTCCATCTAGCCCTGTATCCTCTCTGCTAACAGTGGCCGGTAGCACATGCTTCAGAGAGAACGAACAGAACAGACAACCATCCAGTGATCCATCCCCTGTCGTCCACACCCAGCTTCTGGCAAATAGAGGCTAGAGACACCCAGAGCCTGGGGTGGCATCCCTGACCATCTTGGCTAATAGCCATTGATGGACCTGTCCTTCAGGAACGTATCTCGTTCTTTTTTTAATCCAGTTATCGTTTTGGCCTTCCCAACAGCACCTGGCAATGAGTTCCACAGGTTAACTACGTTGTGTGAAGAAATACTTCCTTTTGTTTCTCCCTTCCATTTTGAAATACTCCACTGGCCATCACCTACAGTCCTCAGCTTAAACCTCTCCAACACATCAGTGATCTACAACCCATCCTGGACAATGATCCCTCACTTTTACAGACCTTGGGAGGCAGGCCAGTCCTCGCCCACAGACAACCCGCCAACCTTAAGCATATTCTCACCAGCAACCACGCACTGCACCATAACAACTCTAACTCAGGAACCAACCCATGCAACAAACCTCGATGCCAACTCTGCCCACATATCTACACCAGCAACACCATCACAGGACCTAACCAGATCAGCTACAACATCACCGGCTCATTCACCTGCACGTCCACCAATGTTAAATATGCCATCATATGCCAGCAATGCCCCTCGGCTATGTACATTGGCCAAACTGGACAGTCACTACGCAAGAGGATAAATGGACACAAGTCAGATATCAGGAATGGTAACATACAAAAACCTGTAGGAGAACACTTCAGCCTCCCTGGCCACACAATAGCAGATGTAAAGGTAGCCATCTTACAGCAAAAAAACTTCAGGACCAGACTCCAAAGAGAAACTGCTGAGCTCCAGTTCATTTGCAAATTTGACACTATCAGATCAGGATTAAACAAAGACTGTGAATGGCTTTCCAACTACAGAAGCAGCTTCTCCTCCCTTGATGTTCACACCTCAACTGCTAGCAGAGCACCTCACCCTCCTGGATTGAACTAACCTCGTTATCTCCATACTGATTTATACCTGCCTCTGGAGATTTCCATTACTTGCATCTGAAGAAGTGAGGTTCTTACCTTTATGCTCCCAATACTTCTGTTAGTCTTAAAGGTGCCACAGGACCCTCTGTTGCTTCCTTTTGTTGGTTTAAAACCTGCTGCCTCTTCATTTCCTTGGGTGATCTCTGGTTCTTGCATTATGTGCAGTATATAACACTTTCTCCATGCCATTCATGATTTTATTCCTTCAGAACTCTTGGGTGAATACCGTCTGGTCCTGGGGACTTATTACTGTTTAATTTATACATTTATTCTAAAACCTCCTCTACTGACACCTCAGTCTGGGCCAGTTCCTCAGATTTGTCACCTAAAAAGACTAGCGCAGGTGCTGGAATTTCCTTCACATTCTCTGCAGTGAAGACGGACGCAAAGAATGCAGTTAGCTTCTCCTCAATGGCCTTGTCGCCCTTGACTGCTCCTTTAGGGTGGGCCGTAGGGCCCTGGGCAGGAAGGGGGTAAGGGAATGGGAGGGTTGGGGGGCTATAGGGCCCTGGGCAGGAAGGGGGTAAGGGAATGGGAGGGTTGG